CAACTTAATTATATTCTGCTTGGTCTTCCGTATTTTATAATTACAGCTCGATTATAAGCACAAAAATTACATTTCTTAATTACTGGGGATCTTCTGATTAGTCAAAATGATACAATTTACAACGCACTAAAAAAAGATCTATCTCATAAGGACACTTATGAAAGCCTGTCTTGACTTTTAACTAATTTTATAATATTTTAACAACTTAAATGTAAAATGTATTATAATTAATGAAATAACAAATAATTGTATTAAAAATTCATTTTTCATCGAAAAAAATTTTTTTGTTTTCAGAAAATATTGTCCATATTCATAAAAACAACTAAAAGCAAATAAAAGCATTTGAAATTAAATAATATCTTTGTTTTATTGAGTTTTGTATGTTACAATTCAGAGCTGATTTTCAGGTACTGGGTATCCAATTAAAAACAAAAAAAACATGATTTGCATTCCTCAAAGCCCTGTGCTTTTAATTATTGTAATCACTAAAACCGATGCGATCGAATTTCTAGCGTTTTTCATAAAATTAGTTGGGGGGTAATAAATATTTTTTAAAATATTTCTACCATGACTTTCAAAAAAAAAAACATATTTATAATAATTTCGATCATCTGTGAATAGTTCCTGAAAGTTTCATTAACATCCGATAATTATTTCTATTTTTGCACGATTTTTCAAATTAATGTGTCATACCAAAAAACGTGCTAAAAAATTGTTATTTACTAGTTCCACTGATACAAATAGAAACGAGGTTTTTTTAATCAAAATTTAGAATTTTCTAAAAAGAAGGAAAATTTTTTAAAAATAATAAAAAAAAACTTTGGTCTTTCCTCTAAATAATAACATAAGCATTTAGACAATAAAATTTTGTTTTCGGCAAGGTTGGCGTCTTTTTCATCAAGCTATGCTCTTTTTTTAGCGATTTCGTGGAGGTACCTAAGCTAGCATCTACGCTAGGGTTGAAACATCCTTATTCCCTTCATATTCTATTAGTAAGGAGAAAGTTCCACTCAGTTTCTTCCCAAGAACTGTTACTTTGTGGAACAAACTCCTGAGAGGATGCTTCTCTGATCACTACACACTTAACCTCTTCGAGTTTAGGGTCAAACATAATCTATCCTAAATCTCCACATAATCTTTTCTACAACAACCTCCTTCAGTAACCCTCTACCTTGAGTGGCTATTGGGCCTTGTATTAGATAAACAGTAGTATAAAAAAATACACATATTCACACTGCTTGACTAGTCAACCAGTGAAAAATTTCTGAATTTTTTTCTAGCAAGTGAAGCTATTATTCATATTTGAAAGAAAAAAATGTTTTCTTTCTTCTTCAAAAGCCCAATATATTAAAAATAAAGTTTTTAGATGCATGCTAATCCACTTTTAATTTTAAATTAACTAATAATTACTAAAAGATCTTGAAACATGCTAAGCCGGATTTCAAAATCATTTTTTATCAGAAGAATATTTGTTATACTATCAAAATCCACCCCTTCCTAAATAGTCATTAATGTAGTTGTTGCTGGATAAAAGGCTGCTAACATACTTTTCTTTTCATCAACTGAAAAATTTACTTATAAACAAAAGATGCAACTTAATCATCTTCCAAAAGCTTTTCAAAGTTCTTCCAAATGTCTACAATCATTACAAACACATATCCATTGGCAGGATTATTTCAGCTGCTTTTGCTGGAAGCAGAAAAGGTGTTCAAGACAAATCAGACAAGAGGACAGCTCTTCTCCTGAATTCTGAGAATTCAGTTAACAAATGCATATTTGGATATTTTTTTTTCAACACTATTAGAAATCTTACAAGTATTTTTATTGTTGAAAGATACAAAGTTAAACAGCCATCACCAAGGCAAATAAACTTCCCATACTTTGATGACAGAGTCAATTTCCCAATAAAGAAAACATTAAAAAATACAAAAACAAAAAATTAATTATTGTAAGTCAAAGTTCACAATTAACTACAAACCAGACATTTTTTTTTAATCATTACAATGAGAAAAAATACAGTATTTATTATCATTTTGTAAAAAGGAACAAGGTCAAGTCTTGTACAATTTATCACTGGACAATTGTTTATTAAATTCTAGCTTTATCTTCTCCCATCACCCAATTTTATCAGCTGATTTGAATTCAGTAAGACAGAATGGTTGGCAACAAAAGGAACAGCCCAACATGCAAATTACAAATTGGAGATACCAAATTCAAACAAGTACAACAATTTAAGTATCTAGGAAGTGTTTTAAAAAAATTTGAAGGTAGAGTGGGATAGTGAAAGCTAAGCAAAGTATTAAGAAACAGGAAAATTTTTTCATAAATAAAAAGCGTACTAAATGATTATGTATTATTGGTCCTCCTATATGCCAGTGAATGCTGGACAATCTTCTCACAGATGATGAGACTTGAGTCAACAGAAATGTGATTCTACAGAAGGATGCCGAGAATACCATAGACTGAACATGTTAGTAATGACTAAGTTTTGTAAAAATGGAAACAAAAAGGACACTTCTACTTAACATCAGAAAGAGTTGAGATTTCTAGAACACATTAAATAACTTAATAAGGAAAGAGGTCTTAGAAAAACCCTAACAGGTATATTGAGGGCAAAATAGACTGGGGAAGGAAGCAGGCCACCTACCTGACTAGGTGTGAATAAATGGCGAGGCAGGAGGCTTGGTAAAGGGAGAAATGCTTCTAAGTGCCAAGGGGGATAGGAAGTTGTGGAGAGCCATGATCGACCAAAACGGCATAAAGAAGAAAATTGTAGAAACAGAAATGCTTAGTAATGGAAATGATTTTTAAAGAAATCGTCCTGAAATGAGTTTCTGTTTAACCAACTATGTAGTTATAATTTCAAGTCACAAGATCGCAACAAGTTGCAATTCCACGAGTTTTTGGTTTTTCTTTGGTTATTTTATTTAAACGATTTTTTTTTTTTTCGATAGAGAAAAAAACAATTTTTTTTTTGCACATAAAAAGAGAAAAAATAATGGAAAATGCTTCTAAATAAAAAATAAAAATTAAAAAAAGCTAATAATTCTATTATTTTCACACGTGAATAAATGACAAATTAATAAGCAAATGAATTTTGTACTGAACACAAAAAACAATATTTATTTTTTTCACACCAAAATTCTTGGTTCTCAAATTTTTGAGTCTGAATATTTTTTTTGTTTGACGGAGAGAGGAGCAGAAGCAATATCAACAATTTTATTTATTTTTATTTTTTAAATAATAAAGCTTTACTTATTTTTTTTTTTACTGTTTTGAAAATTGGTTTGAATGAAAATTTATTGAAAATGTTTGCTTTTTTTTTTGTCTAAAAAAGAAATTTTAAATCTTACAAAACAAAATTACTATTTTAAAATCAAAATCTGCACTTTGTGACTATTAGAAATAAACAATTAAAAAAAAATGCCAAATATGTTTTTTTTTTTTTTTGGTAATTATGGGCCACCCACTGAGGATCGAACTCGCGAAATGATCTGCATGTTCAGTTTATAATGAAGATTATTTTTCTGTAAGTTAATTTAAATCATAATGACAATATCATAATTAATATTTAAAAAGAGATTAAGATTAAAGAAACGGAAGAGACTCCAAAACAAACAAACAAGGAAAGAAAAGCCATGTTGAAATGCTGCCCGACTGTTTGACAAAATGTAAAAACAAAAATAAAATAAATGAAAAAAAAAAAAAACTATTCGGAAATATTTGCTGTTGTTGCTAAAAATGTAAAAAGACCCAATTTCGTTATTGTAATCGTCGACAAAATTCATTTTCGCTGAATAAAGAAAATTATGCAAAGAAGAAAGTAATTGTGGTGGGGGTATTAAATAAAAGTTTCAGTTACCCTGCTCCTCGCCGACATTCGTGGGTGGGGATCGGGTGGAGATGAGGACCCAGGGCAAAGCATGGAATTATTAACTCTCACACTGGTATACATTCAAGAACTATAGTCTATTAATAATCTTAGTTCAATGCTACAAACTAAAAGCCATAATTGAATGGAATTTTTATTTTATTTTTAAGTCACAAGTCCTCCTGGCCATTTAAATTTTGCTGTGATTTTAGAAAGAATGGAAAATAATAAAAATTCAACGAATTTTTAAAGTTATTTTGTTTTTATGCATAAATATTTAAAAATAAATGAAAATATTAAAATCGATAAATGAAATGGTTTGTTCAGACTTTAAGAATATAAAATTTTTAAAAATATGTTTAAAATTAAAATCATAAAATAAAAAGTAACAAAATATAAATAAAAAAACCCCTAAAAATTCTGGTTTTGAAAGAAAATAATCTTCAATGAACTCAAAAGCACATGAAATTTATAACACTTTCAATTCAAGTTTTCCTTTTAGTTTTATTGTATGAATATAATTAATTATGTGGGGAAATAATTGCAGGAATTAAAAACATTTTCAAAGTCTAAGGAAGGAGCAAAAAGGGATTAGGAAATAAACAAAAAGTAAAACAAAATGAACCTTTTTTTTTATAACGAACAAAAGTGAAGACTCCATCCCCGAAAGAAGAAATATGTCTATGTGTGTGGACATAATTCGGTCAAAAAACAAGATTATTAATTCTTTAAGGATGTAATAAAAATGTAAAAACTGTTTAATTAAGGCAAGAAAAATTTACTGACAATAATTGACATCGTCTGCATTTGATCCGCCCATCTTTAAAAACAGACTTTCTTCATCATTAACACTTGTAGATCAAAAGCATACACTTTATAATAAACTAGAATATCGTTAAACGGGTGTCATAAGGAAAATATAGTTAAAAATCTAACTAATTAAATAAAAGATGACGATGAAAAGACTAAAGTTGAAGGGGAAGACAAAAAAAAGGTCATGTCACGTTTTGACGGTCGATATCAGAGATTTTATCTTGATTTCGTTATAACCGCCAGTACATATCAGTTATAATGAATAATAATTTTATACTGAAATTCTGTCAAAGAAAGCAATTGAAAAGGTCTTTACCTTTTTTCTTGCTGCTGCTATTTTATTTTTCCTAGATGCCGCAGGGACATCCACATCTGCCATATTGCGTGACAAGGGAGAGACGCGACTCGACTTATTTTTCACCTGACACGACAACACACACCAGGACTGCACTCAACTTCCGGTAATATCTTACCACAAACAGGACACAATTATCAAATAAATACTACTAAAAAAACACCAATAATTATTTTAACAATATAAAATTAAATTATTTTATTGATTTTATCTTTTAAGAACAAATAATTTTTAATATCCGTGTAGTATAGTGTTCAGAAGACGTTTATAAAACGTCACTTCCGTTCACATTGAATGTAAATAAACAATCAATGTTTTCTCTGAAATCATTTAAGACGAAATTACACAAATTACATTTAAGTAAATTCGTGTAAACACAAACGTTTGTGTAATTTCGTTTTTCATTTATTTTCTTTTGACTTGGAATATTCATTCATTTCTCTTGACTTGGAATATTTACCCTAGACTCATCATCTGGTTCCCACGGAAAATAAAAAATGCTACGACAGTTTTGAAGGCGGAACGTGAAAAGAACAAGAGATCGCTGTAGACAAATAAATAATTCGTGCTTCTTAAATCTTACTTGACAAATGGGGGAATTTTTTAAAATATTGATTTTTAACGTCAAAATCTAGATGAAATTTCAACCGTTCTTCGCTATTCTACCTAGACTTCGCGAATTTAAATACTAACTAGGCGTTGAGATCTTTGTCAATTGACAGTTGTTCAGCTGGCTAGAGATGTGTAGCCGTAAGTTCTAGGCTAACTCTAACAGTTTCTTTTTTTTCTCGCTTGTGGGACTCCCTTTTGACTCCATGCTTTCTTGCCAAATTTAATCTGCAAAAATTTTAAATGCAATGTTAATCGCTATCTACTGTTCTCATGATTAATCTTTCTTTTCTCTTTCCAGTCATTTAATGTTTCTGTTCCTAATTCCTCCACACCATTGTAACCCCTTGTGTCTTAGTGGCTTTACTGCTTTGCTTGGGTGATACTTATAAGAACAAAAACAATGAATATTATTACCGTAACTGTTTATTTACGCACGTTAGCCTCTGAGGTCAAAGGATAAAATAAAAACTATGTGTAATAATTCCAATCCAACTCTGTCCTAAAAAGCGTGCGAAAAAGTAAAAATAAAGCCTACGGAAAACCAGCAGTGCAAGAAGAATTTGTTATTTATGTCTAAAAATACATCTTTAACCATTTTAGTTTAAAGAAGAATATAATTTTTTTAAATTTTATTCGTTTTTTACATCTGTAAGCATTTAGGCGCTACCAGAATAAAAATTTATCTTAACTGCATTTTAAATTAATAATGTAAAAAGAAAAACATTTTAAGAGTAAATTTTAGAAAAATTACAATAAAGTAAACTTATGCAAATGAAACAGTTTCGTCGGAATTCTGAAAATTTTCTTGGTGGTGAGGGGAAGTAAGCATTTAGTTATTGTGTACAGTAATCTGTAAATTAAATAAATGCGGGTAAACAAAACACGAGAATAAGAGAAAAAGCACCCGTACCGATGAATCAAACTAATAATGCTTTCAAGACATAAAAAACTGACTAAACGAGGGTGTTGGTATCACGTTTCAGTTAAGTCCTCTTCAGGAAGCCTCTAGCATAGAACGACCATCAAAGAAATTGTTCATTAGTCTGTTGTAGTGGTCAATTTGACGAGCTTCCTAACCATTATCTCACGCTGGAGTGTCCGAATAATGGTTGGTTTGTATTTTGCCTTCCAAACAAATTTGTAAGGCCCTCTAGTCACTAATATGGGGGCAGTCTACCCGGATTTTAGGCGCAAAAATAAAATCCAAATGTCATGTCCACAAATTACAATACAAAATTATAAAGAAAATGAAGAAATTATCTTAGTAGAAAAGGATGAAGACCAAGTTAAATATGACAATAACATTTATACAGTAGATACATGTATTTACATGTTGAAAATGAATGTTCTTTGTGGTGGCCACGAAGAGACCAATAGTTTGATGTGATTTGTTGCAAGTGAGTCTGCAAAGTTCGGGGTAAGATGTACGTCAATATATGTGCGTGAAGTACACGCTAAAGAACCAGTACGATAATAGTGATTTCAAAACACGGTGAACAAAGAGAAGAGAATCTAGAAGTTACTTTCTATCGCGGCTTTATATATAGAAAGATCATCGCTGACTGACGCGTTGTCATGGTAACATGTGCCGAATCTGGTCGGGTTCGCTGACTGTCTTTCACCGACTGTGTTGTTGTAGATCTGGACCTAACAGTTCCGTTTCAGATCTCTCCGCCGACTGTTCTGTTTCAGATCTGTCCGCTAACTTTATATGGCTCATGGCGAGTCGGTGATCGACTCACGAAATCTATCTGATTTTTGGCAGGAATGTACTCCATGATACAAGCCCTGACCTATTTCCAGGTCATTTGGTGCCCAGCCGCGTGAACGTCGTAGAGAGCATATCACGTGACTTGTCATATCCAATCAGGTTCAAGAAACCAATTATTTAATTTTGGAGCCGTGTTTTGTACAGAATTGTAATTTTTTTTTATATCTGCTGATTTTAGTAGGATTTATTTGTAAGCGTCTCTTACTTGTTTTATCCTTCACTTATTGGCCGTGAAATATAGGAGTTTATATCATATACGAGATAGAAAATTAGATTTAATTTATCATAAAAATATTCTCCCGATATTTGGATAGTAGGCAGTGTAAGCGAGATATCTGAATTATTTCATTTTTGTACATCCATAGAAAAAAAAATTAATAGTTCCTCAAAGGAAAAAAAAAATAAAATCCTTTTACAAAAGGTAAACAATCGAAAATGACATTAAACTTTACATATTTTGATTCTTCAAACAAACATGTCTTTATGTAATAAATGAAACTCTTAAACATTTTTGATACTCTTCTTTATTATCGTCTCGGAAGAAAAATATATTAAATAATAATTTGTCCATAAAGTGTTGAGGGGAAGTTGCAGCATTTTTCAGACCAATTGAATGCAGACAAACCCAACAGCTGTTTTAGGTAGATCATCGGAATGTATTTGATGAAGTAAAAAAAGTGAGATCATTTGTCAGAGAAACAATGTTTATTGTTTATTGACTAGCTTCAAGTTAAATGAATTTATGTTTGGTATCGGGCAGCTGTCGATCTGTCTTATGTTGCTAAGAGCTTAGAGATCACTACAAGTATGACAAAAAAAAAAAAACAAAAAACAAAAACATAAAAACAAAGATGTCCGACTTAGATACGATCTGGAAAAGAAATATTAACTTATACTCCGACGGAGATATCACTGTGAAATTTTGGAACTTTTTAAATTCAACGAAATTAAAAGGCAGCAAGCCTTTAATTTCTCTTTGAAAGTTGTGCTGCCTTGGTAAAAACTGGTGCGTAGTGTCCCATATCTATTCTGTGGTAAACTCCTGGAGATTCCATTTTAGTTTTATGGCCTTGAATTACTGTCTGTACAATTGTTGTTATGCATATATAAATTCCATTTACTTATTGAATGTGTGGTAACTACCACCACCATTACTTACACACAGTACATAGAAATCATGCAACAAGCATTCATTGGTTGATCTCCTCAAAACTAGCTCGCTGATTGGTCAATTCCGACCAATCAGATATCATGCACGCGAGGAATGAAATTTACCGCTCACTAAGGTTGAGCCGATCACGTGATACCCAGCCTTATATAAACAAAACACGTGTAAGCTCTCCCACTTCGTTTTCTCAATCCTTGCTACCAAAATGTAACCTTCAAGAATTCTCGTCTTAACCTTGCGGTCAGACGTTAAAGAACATTACAACATTCACACAAGTACAACTCTTAACTCTTCTGAACTCTTACCAAGGTTTACAACTCACATTTCCTAACATGCTAAAGGAACTTTATTCTTCTAAACTACACTTTAATAATTACTTCATCTTTATGAGCTCAGGTACAAATATTTCCAAATCTAAGATACATAACTCTATCAAACCTTCAGCTTATATGCATGTACACCAAATATTAATAAATTCAATTATGTTTTGAATAATTCAGTCTTGTATTTAATACTATGTGCTATTTTACGTCAAATATAAATCGCATTGTGCACGCCACATCGGATAGTAACCTCCAGCGTCTTTCCTAGTCAAAAGATAAAATATATGTAGCATCACCCTTACATAATGGTGACCACGACGTTTAGGAAAGACCGCTACAAATGTTTCTTCTTATTGCTTCATATTTTGTGATATTTTCCGTAAATATAATTCGTTAGGCTGTTCAAATCCCAACAAGTTATAAAAATTGACCCTGTGTAATAAAATGCAAACTCTTTATATAACGCAATATAATAATGCAGAAGGATAAGGTGAAAGTTGAAGTTTCAAGAGTAAAAGTCCTGGTGCATAAGTGATAAATAGAAAAAGATTCCGGGAGGAAGTAAATATGTATGTATGTATCTAAATGTAGAAGTCACTGCTTGACAATGTGGGTGAAGGAAGGTATATTTTAAAATGTAATAATTGGTTGGTTGAACTATCTAGTTTTAGAGATGGTTAAATTTTGGCTTCCTTGTTATTTGTTTATTTCTTTTCTTACATCCTGATTGTGAAAGATTTTTGATTGGTTGGTCAAAATATGGCTTTGTTTGTCTGGCGATTTTTATTATCCATCTATCATTTTTAGGGTGAAGTTTTAGTATTCTTGTTATTATATTATTTATTTATTTATTTCTCTATCCCTACACTGCTATGTATTTTTTACTAGATTTTAATGAATGCTCTATTTTTACATCGACTATAGATGAAAGCAGTGCTCTCATAAATGTATTTTGCTGGGTCTGAGACGATCCGTTATCGATAGCATACCTTATAAACTGATGAACATCTTACGATTGCAGTTGTCTTCATAACTTTGTTCAATATTTCAGACTTTGTCTTTTCATCGGCTGACAAAATGGTTGGGTTTTTTAAATCATCATACGTTTGAGAATAACACTGAAGATGTAAATTTAGCAACAACTCAGCTG